CTTCAACGAATGGAAGAGGATGATTTCTCGGTGGGCGATTCACAGCAATGAGAGTCTGGGAATATAGGATGGTCTGCCTCAAGTATCAGTGTTGCTTTGCTAACCAGGGTGTTCCAGCATTCCTTACAGAGCGTCTAGGCTGGACCTCTATTGCATCCATTCATCGTTTGAAAACTTTCAGATCTGTGCGTGTCTGTACAAATCGACCACATTCTTCTCCACCAGACTCGTGCCCTGCGCTCTCCTAGTGCCCCTCGCCTGTTCCACTTTCCAGGCCAGCACCGCAGATGCTTTAAAGCTCTCCATCTTAACTGCATGTTTTGCCTGTTGGTCAGCGTGGGTCTCGTGCCTCTACAACCACAATGGCACTGTTTTGGCAGACTGTATTAGTCACAGCCTATCACCTACTGCACTCAACATGGCTGACAAATTGCCAGAGCCTGTTGCCTGCAGTGATGAGAAGCTATCGTGAAGGTGGGGTGGAAATCAAACGTGAAGGGCAGCGTCAGTTGGGAATTGTTTACTCCTGATTCATTGCAGTTGCATGGATGTAGTTCGCTAGACGTATACGCATGTGCTTGTCATTTCTGTACGGAGGCGTTCCTATCTCGTAGAAGGATTATTGAGCACCTACTGATGCTTGTATTCTCTTATATACATGTGATTCTGCAGAGTGTACTGCTAAAGCGTGCACCCAGCCTTCTACGTGAATACACTCAGTGGGCATGTGTATCGCGTGCAGAGTTTGGTGAATACATGTCAGTGACTCGGCTGAACAAATTCAGATGGAAATGTAGTTAAGGGACTGAGGTGTAATCACAGCAAACTACACAGACGGAGCTTCTCAAGCGACTGGGAGGCACGCAGTGTCCCAGCAAGAAGGGGACTATGTGACTTTTTAGCCAGGTGATCAGTGACATATGTGAATCAATGTATGCATTCACTTAATGCTGTAATTTCTTCACAATTTTGCATGTTTATCGATTTTTTTATGTACAAATAGGGAGTTCAATGGCGTAAGCCTATTTCCCTCAAATACACTGACTGACTGACTGAAACCGGACCACGCAGTAGTTGCTTTGCTTCAACACAGGGACTACATCCGAGTTCCGCAGGTTTTATCGAGAATATTTGCCCATTACAAATGCCAACACTGGGGGATGTGGTGGTACGTCTATATGTCCATTCATGCAACGTCATGCCCGTCCAATTGCCAATGTTTATCATGAAATTTACAACATACTGCAGTCTATTACGAAATTTTTTGAATCCTCTCTAGTATCTTCTTAAAGGCATTGAGGAATATATGATTGTCCTTGCGCGGAAAGCACACACCTTGTAGACTGAGATCGCTAAGCGCTAATCCAACGGTTGATCAGGCTCACAATTATGCAGGAATTGGAAAACCTTTTCAAAACCTAAATACACACTTTCTTCCGGCATAAAATGTGAAGACGACATGATTCTCCGCCAAAGGAGTGAAAGAAAGCATATTTTTGTGCATGTCTTCTATAAAGTTTATTTGAATTTATAAGGCTATCAAAAATTAACGTGAAAAATGGATGCTAATTTTGATAGCCATTTTTCACCGAGTGCTGTTTCTACGGGGCGTCGAAAGGAAGTGCAGTAAAAAACCGACATACTAGCGAGTCCGAAATGTTACAGGACTATGCCGCATGATAGTCAATATTGCAATCCCACCTATGTAATCTTTCCTAATCGAAAACGCATTTCAGAATTTCATTTGACGTTTCATGAGATCGGTCACTCATTGGTGCTTTTCAGCAGAAATTTGTTTATTTTCTGTGTCCTCTCGCATTCCACAGGCATCGCATCGTCCACAGGCTACCTCAAGTTAGTTGGAGTCCTACACCCTAGCGTTCAACTAACTGACATTCGACATTCATATGGATCCTGCGTATAGAGGGAATATAGAAGAGTGCCACTTCTTGCACCCTGTCCCGAACTTATATTTGAAGGAAGAGAGTAGGAAGGAGGCAAGCAGGAGTTTTTGAATTTTCTTCAGGAAGAAATACGAGATATGAATTTCAGAACATAAGGGCAGGTTAAAACACAGTTTCTATTCAAAACAGAGGTTTGCTAGGGTTTTGAAGACTTTTTACGGTAAAACACACTTACTCAATCCATAAAGATTGCAAAATGTCTCGCCTACCGAGCTAAATCTCCTTCCAAATTATTCTGCTGTAAGTAGTCATGACACAATACATCAGATTAGGTAAAACATTATCAGGGTGAAAATCTCATTGTTTCCTAGGGTCAAAATCGAAGGTTACGAACAATTAAATTATGAAACCAATCTCGCATTGCCTCGCCAACCCTCGATGATTCCATGCACACCCCGTTTCCTCTTGCCGAAACGGTAAACACAGTTTCTTTAGTCATTTCTCTCTCTCTCGTCACATTTATTCCAGACTTGCCGCTCTGCGTGTTTTTCTCTTTGAACCTGCAGTCCTGCACTTTCGTTGCCTGGATAACTGCGCAGGCACCTAACTTCTCCCAGTTCCCTTTTTCGTCTAGGGATGCAACGAGAACGGTAAACTAGGAAGTTCAAGCCTACTGCCTTTTCAAGTCCTGCTGGAAGCTAGGCGCTATACGCTACATAAGGAACACAAGTTTTCTCCTGACGTCACTGAGGCAGTAAAGCTCGTTTTGAAGTCTGACAGGATACAACACGACATTAGGTGCGGAGAAATGACGCCAGCTTTCAAGTTGCGACTCATTCGACGAGATCCGGCCACACTCGAATTCGACGAGGCCGAAATTCTCGCAAGAGGTGACAACCGCGTGAGCCGGGGGCTGCTTGAGTCATGGTTTACTGGTCCTCCGTCCATTAACGACTTCAATGAACTTCCCCTTCCATACTCGATGCTGAGACTTCGGCTAGACAGAGTAATTAGCCACGCGGCGAGCGCACCGGAGGACACTGTTCTCAATGCCAGGGTCAATGCGTCAGATGGTCGAGCAATCATCACACCAACATCCAACACCTGTGATGAAATTGCAACAATTAACGACGCGAATGTCGGCCATCAAACAATTAGCACTCCAAGTGCAACGATCCCGGATGAAAGGGATAGCCGTGAATGTTCATAGGTATGTGGTGGCATGGCGACTACATCCTATAAATACTGCAGTCCCTTGTGCATGAATCCCCCGTATCTGCCGTTGTCTCTGATGAAGGATTCGAGCATGAATCCGAAACGTCAGGCTAATAAAGCTCTTGTCCCAGCGATCGTGTCTCCTTCTTCAAAACTACTTCCTGGGACTCGTCTCTTCGATTCTATTGGCAATATGGAAGTCCCCCCGTAATACAGGTGGTTTTGTGCTGAATTGCGGGGTGATTATGCTTATGGGTAAGTTTTGGGTCAGTTGTTTAAGGTCAGGATTACGGTTATGGTTAAGAGTTTAGGGTTATTTTCCATGTTAAAACAGGGAGTGGGTACCTCTTCTGGTACTTAGCGCAGTGTGGGGAGATCCTTTCTCCTGTGGATCATTTCCGAATGCTCTCGAGAATTCTTTGGCCCCAAGGTTCGATAAGACGTGGTTCAACCACGACTCGGATGCAAGAAGCTGCCCTAACTGAGGAAGTTGTTCTGCGTTCAGGTACCTGGCGATATGCAAACTTATACGGAAGTTCACACTACTAAGAAACCTCAGTAGAACTATGACTGATGAAAGCAATAAAATAGTTTGAAAAACCAGTGAGAGCAGCACACGGGCACTTGAGTTTCGAAAGAAGAGCACGAATAAAATGCTTCCTAAAAGACAATTAAGTATATACCCATGCTTTATAAACAAAAACCGAAGTTGTTTTATCTCTGAGACGATAAAATTAGGTCATTTCACTATCGCTCTGCTGGGCGTCTAGACACATAAGCCAATGAAACTTAGTCTATTGTGAGTTATAGCACTAGGACAGAGGTGTTCAGGTCGATAGTAAATAAAAAAAGGCTACCTATGGAATATAGCATACTATTTGGGACAAGCTGGTCGAACAGCTCTGGAGAATCTCAAGATGTATTGGCACTGGAGAGAAATATAACCAGACGAGGAAGTAAATACAAACCTATAATAAAAGTACCAAAATTGATAGTGTTGATTTGTATCGCGCCACAGACAAACGAAAGTACCCCTAGAGAAGACAGAAGTAAGGTTCCATGACAGAAATTCTTCACAGAATATATTCAAGTATAGACTTCTTAATCGATGTGTATACTGAGACGAATTTGATGAAATACTGAACGATCCCTTTTAACACGCCCTTAGGCAGAGAAAACTTATTTAGTTAAATAGCAGAACATAATCTTCGGTTGACTCCTACAATATAGTGCGTGGGCTTTAAATTGAGATTTTATCTGGATATCCGAAAATAATAGTCAGTTTAATTGCGCACTTTTTCATCGCATTGATTTTCGATACCCATACAAGTCGTGTATATAGAGAAAACGCAAGTGGCATCATTTCTTGTTCTCTCCCAGTGATGTGCTCACAGTGGCTCGCATTTTAAGAGTGATATTTCCCTTACAAGACTGCATACGTCTAGCACATGATTCCGCACGTAAGTCACATTGGTGTGACCCAGCCTCGTAGCAGTCTGTGAGCGCGAGTGGACACAACGAGATTTCTGAATTTTCGTCGCGAACTCTACTTCCATCCTCCTCTTCCCCCTCCTCCTCCTCCTCCTCCTCCTCCTCCTCCTCCACATTTCACGCTTGCTTCAGCAAGTCCCACACAGAGCCGAACATTATTTTCTCGGCAGACCTATCACAGACCACACTGCTTGAATATTCCTATGGCCACTCGAGACTTATCGGTATTTTATATCTAGGCTGTGACATTCCAGTATTGGATAATCGGGTATTTTCTGCAAATCAATCTTTCTTCATATGACGATGAGGTGCAGTGCTCCTCCCTGGATAAACCATTTTGTTCTGCCTTGAATTTTCGGTCTGCAGGCCATGCCTGCGGTCGCACACTGACTAGCACTCAAATTTGTAGAAGTGCAATCGAGAATGCAGACGCACGGGATGTCCACACCTGGTTTGTTCGACGTCGACATCATCATCATCATCATCATCATCATCATCATCATCATCATCATCATCATCATCATCATCATCATCATCATCATCATCATCATCATCATCATCATCATCATCATCATCATCATCATCATCATCATCATCATCACATCTTAGATCTGCAGAACCGCGATGTCAAACTGAGTCAGCTGATCATCGAGTAGGGTTCTCACTTCTGCACTGCGGGTCGTTGGCATGTCGGGGCTGGTCGGGGAGTATTCACATTGATGGGTCTGAATGGTTATATTCGATCTCATCTGACTACGGGTGGATCACGGGTCATTTTAAGGACAGTAATTACTGCAGTTGATGTGCGACTGGTTGATGACGGCGGACATAGCAAAGATGGTCGTTACTGCGCCTCTGACTTAGCCGCTGAAGCTATTGCATTGTTTACTAGTAACCTTTATGCAACTGCTCTCAAGCGCTGTGGGAGATGATCCTAATGATAAAATGGAAATGCTCATTTATTCCTGCAATACAGAGTGATTGGTGTGGGCCTATTTCAAGTGTATATTCACAGTATGCTTTATTGGAACAAAAGTATTGTTCCTGATTATATCCTGTACTGATCTAGCCTGAATGATTCTAATTCTTCATTTTCTGTAATTTTTGTTGCATGTCTTTTCGTGTTTGACTAGCGTTCTATTATGGCTGACATTGTTTATAATGGACTTCAGTTGCCTATATCTAACTTGGACCATCGCCGGCCGCAAAATGCCCACGATAAGCTACCGTATTTAAGTGACCGTCCAACACTTTTGTCAGAATATCCCAGCGTCAAATACGGTCTGCGAACAAGTAGTTGTGCTGAAGTTAAATGTACTCTTTTCTGGCACGTCTATTCTTTTAGGTCTTCCCTCCTCAATTTTCCCGGGAATATCGGTGCTTGGGATTTCTCCTTCCTTGACTGGAGTTAATCGATTTCAATAAGTGCTACTCCACAAATCCAGTAGCAAGTTAACGTTAACCTACTTTCTCGCTATGTTGATGGAGTGAAAGTGTAGATCTCTAGTTTTTATCCAAACATCCTGCATTATTGCTTATAATGTGCAAATAAACCCTTTACTACAGCTCTCGAGGATACTCCGATTTTCACCCTAGTAGTGTCATGTCTTTTGCTACTTTTTCTGTCGGATATCGGATGCGGTACAACGTGTTTAATATATTATTTCTTCATCTGTTTTTATGCGAATGTGTGTTTTCGGCCAGATTCCTGCCTTTTGTTGGAGACAGATTTCTAAATCCGCGCGTAGACTTTAAGTGTGCTTGTTGGACAAAGGCCTTCTTCTCTGACTATGTGAATTTTGTCCCCTTAAAACCCATTAAACTTCGCGCACCTTCATCGACAAAACCATTATCCGACGACACCTCCATGTGACTCAACTAGACTTTCGTCCAATGTGTTTCCCAAAGAGGATACAGTCTTCAAACTCTGCCACAGGGTACCTACTGCCGATGTCACTTTCCCCTTAGCAAGTCCATTTCGATTAAATTTGGGATTTGACATTTTTGTAAATCTTTCGCTGTTCTGGTTTTTAAAATCAATATGCCGATTCAACGGGTCCTGTGAGGGACAATTGTGAATAAGCTGATAACGTTCATGGATTATTGAGAGACTGCAACAAGTACTTATTGGGTAATCTAACCCAAATATGCCTGAAAGCTATAGACATAATGTTTTTGCTGTTTTAAAGGACTACATCCTGAAGGATTCCAGACGATTATTTTTCAAATACATGGTGCACCAAAACCACACTTTAAGCCTTTTTGTAATCTGCCTGCTAAGTGAAGTTGGCTAAGAATTCTTCATGCGATGATCGGCTACACATACCCATACTAGGATCTTTGAAATGTCCAAGCGTATTCCCAACTCGACTTAAAACTGGATGGCCCTGTGGATGTGGTTTGCATAAAGAGTACATTTGTGAATTTTCTCCACAGTCTAAGGAGGAGTACCTGGCAAATGAAGCTTCGAGCGGTTGTCAGGCAGTGGATTTCCTGATCTTAGCAAACAAAAAGAGTAACCGAAAAGTCGGCTTTAAGTAATAGGCACACTGGTCTAAAAGGTTCTTCTTTTTCGATAACGGATACCGCAAAAAATAATAAATGAAATTCTCTTTTTTTGTGTTTTTTTCATATGTATTTCCGATTTGAATCGGAATGTCGCAGAATTATAGGGGCAAATAGAAAAAAAATGACACAAATGCGATCATCGAAGTTACTGTGTTATATATGTTATGCATTAGTTATCATATGTATATTTTATTCGTTTATATATATTATATATTGGTTTACAAAGATATATATATTATATAATATATTAGTTTACAAAATCAGACCAATTTTATTCGAGATGATTGTTTCAAATCGATTGCAACTTCCGCTATTACTAGAGCAGTCCGTATAACATGACGTTTGTGTGAAAATTAATCGGTTGGGCACGGAACTACCGACCCACGACGTAACTTCCAGGAGTGTTGTGGTTAGGGCTAGGAGGGTGAGAATTAGTGTTTCTGTCAGGGTTAGGCCAGGGGAATAGAGTGAGTCCGTCGGTAGTAAAAGGAAGGGTTTGAATTACTCTGTCCCACCAAAAAATGTAAGTCCTCCGAACCTAAATATATGCCAGTTCAATTTGAAAGAGCCTAAATGTTCCGTGAAGTCGCGCTCTGCCCGGAAAAATCAATATTCTTTATGATTGGGGGAGGGAGTGCGCTCACCGACCGCGCTACGAACCCACTCGTCCCGTTGTGCCTTGGGGCTCCCTTTCTCTCGAGCATCGCCAGCAGCCATACAGCGGCGCCTAATGTGGGCAGAATGGCATTACCGACAAAACAAGGGAGACTGGAATGGTCATTTCTGGCTTATTAATCGTCAGCTAGCCAGCCATACCCAACCTCGAAATGTGGAACACCTGAGGCTCAATCCCGCGACCAGTTGGTTAGAAGTCTAACGCCTCTAACTAATGGACCACGAGCTGGCTGACAACAGCAATAAGCCAGAAGTGGCCATTTCCAGTCTCCCTTCTCTTTGTCGGTCGCACTGTCTTTTTCAGCTTTCTACGTTTCTATCGTCCGATCGCATGCGAGTTTGAATTCTACTTACCCTGGTGTATCCACAATGGACATATCGCAGAAAACAGACAATCAATCATAACTTTTCCGCCCTTTGGGAAATAGCATCATAGGAAACGAACCTCTAGAGAATGGAACTGTTCTGTCGCAGAAAATAAAAGCAGGCGCGTTTCGAAATCTGTATTATCTCTTGTGGGCATGGGACTCTGGAGTCACATAATTAACGGGGTTTCCAGTTCTCCCCTTGAGAAAGTGGGCGCATTTCCCAGTGCTATAGACATGCGTCTACTTCCCATCTCTAATTGCCTAAGGCCCGATGAAAGCCTCGGAGAAACCTAAGCAACGCAAACCGTTATTTGAGTGAGTAGTAGGGAACTTTAAGATCTGTTTGTGGAAGAATTGTTGTTTTATTATGAAGGACTCAGTGGACGTGCACTCTGGAAATGATACATACAGTAGGCAATGAAGCGCCCAGCGTGTTTGGTGGTCTTGAGCTGCCGTCATAAAAACGACTGCAGCGATTTATGCGTTCGCTATTGGCGGTGTTAAAGCATGCAGTCAGAGGCCAGAAATTGAGCCATTATCCTTGATATTTCCAGTCCGAGAGGAATTTAATTTTACAGACAAGGGGACGCCTTGGCGTGGATGAAAATATTTGAGGTTAGAAGGGGAAAACGACTGCCTGAAAACAGCCTGCACTTGAAGCCAACGGAAAGCGTGTGATTGCTACCAAAATCAAAACAAATTTTCTGAATAAAGGCATTTAGCGGATGCCGCGGAAGGGTTGTGAAGGTCGATTTACCTCAGCATTAATTAAAAGTTTTGACAACGGCGAGAAATGAAACGTTTACATAACTTTGTATCCCAGTCTATGTCAATATTTCTCCCTTTGCACGTAGCGCGTTTTATTATGTTATTCACACATAATTACATCCACAAAGTTTCGTGAATAGACCATATTCCTTTTTTTTACAAATATGCACTTGCAGCCTCTCTTATGTGGCTAGGAAGGATGCATCGGAGAAAGTACTTCCGAAAATCAGCCGTATGCCTTAAACTGCGTAACCTTATACGATATCCTTGGCACCAAAGGTAACAGCGCTCACTGTATTCGTGAGTAAAATTTGAACTCAGTTTGGGCTAATCAGTGAAGTAGGAAACATTATTCTCCAGTGATTAGTTGACCATCGCTTCTTCTCGCCTGCTGCAAAAAAGTACCCTTGCGTTTCCCCATCGACCGTTAACCTAAGTAAGTTGATTAAATACGTTCAAAGTTGTGAAAATCTCCATAACTGTGTTCGGATGAGACAGTGGCGAGCGAACTTTCCTTTCGGTCACTTCTCGTTAGGCCAATACAGTTACATGGGACGGGGTGCAGTGAGTGGATTTTTTTTTCACTTACTGTACCCTGGCCCATCTAACTGTATTGGCCTGACGAAAATTTACCGAAGGGAACGTTCGCTGGCCACTGTCTCTTCTAAATATGCTCATTCATACCTAGGAGATCCCCGCAAACGGCCTGACAACTGTAGGTGTACGTACATTTTCGATTTTTCTCTACGTCTTCTTGTACACCTGAACTTCTCTATACCGTTGTTTAAGTACGCTAAAATACACACACGACCGGTTTCGGATTGCGGCAACTCGCGTTTTGTGTCCGCATTCTGCATGGTGTAATTGTTTCATTGATTACGCTCGTGTGCCTCAATCCTTTTTTGGTTACCTGTCACGATCATTTTTTATTCCTTGGTCCTATTTTGCCGGACGTAAATTTAACCCAGCAACAGGCTCTACTAACCAGAGCCCTGCTCCCGCTAAAGCAACAATCGACACTGGAGGGGCTTCATGTTTCGTGAGTCTGTACAACATTTTGCGTTTGCCGTGTTCCCATACTCTTTCGCTGCCGCTTTTTTGCAAGGAACACAACGTTCCCAGCCCAGAGTTAAGTTTTTCGTCTATCTGTTGTCTCATTGTAGTTGTAATTGTTGTTTACGCAACAAAAGTGGTGGCCACGTTCTACATTTACACACCCTTCTACTTACCCGGACTGATGAAGAGCTCAAGGCAGACTCTCTTGACGTTAACACCCTCTCCTTCAAATTGTCCCCATTCACGTCGACGAGCGGTATCACCAGCGAAAGCACACGTTCTTCGTACCTGGTGCAGAATGCAGCCCCCGCGTCGCTCTGGATTGGACGTGCTTTAAAAGTAGTTCCGCCTGACCTCTTTGGAAGAATCTTCGGTGTCCCCATGGGACTCCCATTTGAATTGCGGAATGTCAGCTAGAACGCCGTGGGCGAAGAAGGATATTGACCTCTCCAAACAGGTGCTGTTACGGGAACAAAGTTGATCGATTATCTGAAGAATTTATTGCACCAAGGTGGTTCGAATGAGCTCGATTTAATTCAGTCATCTTACAGGTACTTAAGGCGTAGTCAGTTCTGAACATTCCGTGGTCATGATTGCTCGCTGAAACCGGAGGACTTCTTTGAGTTTGCACGAACAATTCGCCAACGGGGTCATCCGTACAAGGTCATAAGCGGACGCCAGTGACTAGACCTCAGGTGCCTTTTTTTTTACAGCCGACGAGTTGTAGGGCCATGAAACTCGCTACCAAGCGGGATGTTGGCAAACGACAGTTAAGGTGATTTTAGAAGGAAGTTTGATCGCACAATTTTTGACAAAACTCATCTTTCACAGCGTGATTATTTAGAGCCAGCCTTGAAAAACATTGCATGATCTACCCCCTGCACAGATCGGTATTGAACAACGATAGTCGTTTTAATTACCTTGCATTTTAACTCGAACACAACTCTGAATGTTGACAATTGTATGTTGACTGGAGGGATGCTGAAGTAATTGTACACTAGGGGGGTCGTAAAGGGCTCTGCCTGTAACCTTTGAAGGATACATGCAAGTCGTAATGGTTGAAATGATGGGTTACTACGACTCTAAATTTACCATACTCCATCACCGACGAAATCACGGCGGCCTCTTACTGAAACTTTTATAACCTCTGGGGATCAATCCTGCCTATCTCGTGGAGGTATCTCAAAACGTTCTCATGCAAATAATATATCAAAGACCCAGCCGTTTGATAATACCAAGAACTGGTTCATTTATTTCTGTGAAGGCTAACCAAATTAAATACAAAAAATACACTACTCACCGAATTGGATGCATTCTGTATGGTACGGCATACCTATGACAATTAACGGCTCACACCTTCATCGAGGATGATTGCCCTCTGGTGCGCTAATGATTTGATGACCGGCATGCAAGTCCTTAATTGCTGAAATTGCATCACCTGTGCTGGATGTTGGCGTAGTGATGGACCCGGCCACCTGGCTTTCCGGCCTGCACGCTCTCTAAGTGACTGAGTACTTTAGCAAAATTAAGTCTGAGCACCGAATATAGGGTTGGGAGGTCGCTGCACTTATTAACAGACTGGGGTCCCGTGAACCATAACCCAAGCAACTCGCGGCTCAGGTGACTATCATCTCTCGTAAGCACTTCAGCCTCATCGGACTTGAACTTCTGGCTGCGTCTCGTCGAATGCGTCGCGACCTCAGAGTTGGCGTCATTTCTCCACACTGTTGTCGTATGTTCGGGGCTTCGCGTCTTGGGCAGTCTTTCAGTTTTTTTTCGACATATTTTCTCTGTCTGCAGCTGGTTCTCGACGTGACAGTGAGCCTTTTGGCATCATTACCTGATGTCTGATGGTTGCCCCCGGTCTGTGGATGTCTCCAACTCAAAGCGATGCGAGAAGGCGGTTGACGGCCTCCGAGACGTTTTCCACGAAGGAAGTCGCTCATTAAAATTTATTGTCAGTGCGATTCTGTCGCTCACCTCGTTTGCGCTTGCATCGGAATTCGGCAACCTTATATTCCGCCTCACTGTAAAGCGCTTAACACGCCCCCATAGCACCCTCACTAAACTGCGGAGAAGATAACCCTCCGTGTGAAAATTGGGGAGGCCATAGAACCGGGCCAAGGCCGTTTCTTGGGCAGCCGCCATGCCTTGGTCGGCCGGCACCCACTAACATGGAATAACACGCGGAACGAGGTGGAGTGCAGCCGTTGTACTCCTAACCCCCTAGCGCGAAAGAGTCTGGGATTTAAGTCAGGATCTGCTGGTTCACTGAGCTTGACGCTCCACAACTGGGTCACGAGATTACGCCTTGCCAACTGCGGTGGAGGATATTCTATCTTACACGAAATTTATGTTGACCAACCTGTCACGAATCCCGTGTTAACTGTAGATTTTCCGTTTTGGCTGAAGACCCTGATTGAGACTTATACGAACTTACAGTAGAGGCGCTGTCCCATGAAATGCTAATCTAAATTATGAAATATGTTTCCGATCAGGAAAGAACCATGAGCTAAAAAGATCATTGTTCACACGGCCATCTGTATTAGGGGGGAGGGGCTCCATATTCGGGTTCCAAACCAGGGTTTATACTCCTTCTACAAAGATGCCATACCTTTTAACTGCTACAGCCTGCTCTGTCCGTGTGCCTAATATACTGAATGAAACGCTAACTTTAGTAAGAATTTAGCTAGCGTTCACAGAAGTAAATGAGTCAGTTCTTGGAATTGTCAGAGGATTCGGTTTTTGATATATTGTTTATACGAGAACATTTTGGGAGACTTTCCCAAGGGAGGCCATGTTGATCTCTAGAGGCTTATGACCACCGAGACCATACATATCCGGTTTCGC